AGGAACGATTGTGTTAGGAAGGAACAGAAAATAAAAGAAATAATCAGATAGGAAGAGAGATGAGCCTCGGAGAACAGGGGAGCGAGGAGGGAGAGGGGTACAGGGAATGGGGACCGACGGAGTTGAGTTATATATAGCAAGACTCGACACCTCTCCAGAGCAATGTTCTCTAGCGCACAGCGTGGGGCATGGAAGGTACGCGATTAAACACTACACGGAAGTTACGGTATCGAAGGTCAATGGTACGTAAGGCTATTAGGCAATGTTCCCAAGTGGGCAGGTAACGCATATTGGGATATTGGTCTGGCCTATCCTTTGAAGAATATGGAGAAAGCAGAATACGATGGATTCGAGATTTCGGTGACAAGTGGTGATGCACGAATGGAATCAGCTTTGCATAGTGAGAACAGTAAATAGTTGAATCTTGTACCAGCTGACGCTCTTGTGTTACCCAGCAAATTTTGGACAAACTGACAGATCCTTGCTGCACCTGCTTAGCCATTAATCACCTACATTGTCTTGCCGAGGTCTTATTGTTGCCCGTTAGTGACGTGTCACCTGATAGACTTACGTTCATATGACATGTTGTTCACGTGTTAGACGCCTGAGTCACCTATTACGATCTTCCGCGTCCTGACAAATACATTAGGTCCTTGACAATTTTTTTGTTACCTGGTTTCTACCTGTATCTACTCATAGTGCCTTGCGTTACGCGGTAGAGCCTTGTGTCACCTGGCAGGAATCTCCTATCTCGAAAACCGAGGGAGATAGTTGGACCTCACCGTTGCCTCCCTGTCGTCTCGAGATAGATTTAGTGTCATTTTAGATCCTCGTTCGAAGGGTTTAAACCCCACTTGTTATCCGCTACTATTGTGGTAGCTGAGGTCCCCCGGCGCGAGTGAGACCCGCTGGCTCCTCCGCCGGGTTACGAGTGGCGATGATGGCTGGGCTTGGGGTTACGGCGGGGGAGGGAAGTCGAGACGAGAGGAAGAGGGGATGGAAAAGGAAGGGGGAGTAGGAAAGGGGGAAGGGGAAAGGGAGAAGAGAAGGAGAGAAGGGAAGGAAGGAGAGAGGGAGAGAAAAGGGAGAAAGTAAGTAAGGAAGAGAGAGAGAGTGATGTGTGTTGTAAATGTTGTATGTATGTTGACAGTAGCTCTATAGTGGGGACTATTGAGGTCATGTACTATGCCGCGTGAAAACAGTTCAGTTAATAGTGCAAGGGAAACTATGTTTACCGTAGGATAAGGCATTGTTGAGGATGGATTACTGTAAACTAGGAGATATATGCTGCAGCTTAAGAGATGATATAGGATACAGAAAATCCGAGGAGAACCAAGCACCGTATCCGATGGATTAAGTTAGTGGCGTGTGTTGATCGTGTGTGAAAAAAGTCTTACCGGATCCACATTTACAGTCCGGGGCTTGAGTGAGTCATACCTTCGGTGAGGTTTACTTTAGTTTGCAAGTGGTGAGAGGATGACGTCATCGGATTCGGAAAAGGGAGGCATAGGAGGAGGAAGGAGGAAGCTTTGGGTCAGTTGATCCGATGTATCTGTGTCTGCTTGCCTGTCTCCCACCTCACCGGGCCAACGCATACACTCACTCACACGAGCTTACGCACACACGCACACGCACTCGCAGACGTTCACCCCATATATATATATATATATATATATATATATATATATATATATATATATATATATATATATGTGTATATATATATATATATATATATATATATATATATATATATATATATAT